TGAAAAACTCAATGGTTTCTCGGCGCAGTGATTCCCGACAACTCGCCCGCTAATTAAAAAATCGTATCTCTGCTCCTAATTAATATTAAGGAATTAAACCAATGCTGTTCGATGGAGAATTAAATTCCCCATTTTTCAACCCCCGTTGCATTCCGTAATCTCTGTAATGAAAAAATTAAAACTGCGACGAAAGTCGCGGCGCTATGAAAAACCTAATGGTTTCTCGGCGCCGTGACTCCCGACAACTCGCNACAATCAAGGGCCTGACAATCGTGTGATAGTACACAATAAACAAACAATAGAACAATGCATTCTGAGAAAGCAAGTAAGTATTCGTCTACTCATTCTTTACTACGATATGTCACTCAAAAATATGCTTGTTATGCATCTGAGGAGGCTCCCGCCAACTTTACATAACCTCATTGAGATACTCTGTTTCTGAAGAATGGAATGATCAACTATTGAAAGGAAATTGTTAATAGAATTTGAAATCTGCAATAAGAAATATTTCAATGATAGAGCAATTTTTCTGAACAGTTTTTTCTAATGAAAAATCCACGCAAGGATTTAGAGGCAGTGTTGATCATTTGAATTTACTGGCAGTTCGCTGCATTTGGTTAAGACGTTTAGGATTTTCAAATTCTCTCAAAAAACTAGAAATTACTTGAATTTTATCAAAGTCTTCCTGGCTTTCTGTAGAATTTCTAGACAATTTCTTAATTCGTTAAAAATTTTAAAAATTTTATAAACACTTTTTGCTCTTCCTCGAAATTACAAGGAAATCTCTCAACTTCTGTTGGATTTCGACCAATTTTGATTCCCCAATCGTTGGATATTTCCAGGAGAACGAAGTTTTGAATTATTCAATTTATTTTTTCAATCGCATTTTTCGAATTCAATTTATCATTGATTGTTCTAAAAATTGATATCTAAACACCCTCAATATCCACCCTTTTTATTCTCGTGAGGATGGATTTTCGCAGAGAAACGAGGAGATTTTATTCTTTGAAAATTTAGTGCCAGCACAGAGAAGTAGAATGACGTGTGAATTGTTCTTACACTGATATGATATTTTCACTGATATTTCTATAAATTGTGTCAGAAACAACTAGAAATTTTACCTGAATTGCATAAGAATTTTCGAAGTGTCCAGTACTAGATATAAAATTTATTTTTAATCAAAAATTCGTGCCTGCCTCAGTGCCAATTACATACTGGTCGATATGTTTATGTGCCATTACCTCCTGAAGTGTTTTTCTCCTCACGTATGTGATTACATTGGTTTCAGACGGTGGAACCGGGAATGCTGCTTTGAAGAATGCACTTTTATACATGATCATCAAGGATGAGATGCCACTGTACAGTACGGAGAAAGAAGGAATGAAAAAATTCTTGAACCTCGTTGCTCCTCATTACAATGCACCAGGGAAGAACGCCATCACTCATTTCATGGAGATAAAATACTCAGCTTTGAGAGAAATTATCAAGAACAAATTGAAAAAAGCTGTCAGTTTGACAATTACCACCGATATTTGGACAGAAACAAAGACGAACCGAGGATTTCTCGGATTTACGGTACACTATTGGAATGGGGAGAAGTCTGTAACCTATAATATTGACACAATGCTGTTGACGAAGAGGAGAACCGCCGATTATATCTCGGAGAAATTCGATTCATTCCTGAGGACCTGGGGGATTGAGAAAGAGAGAGTCACGGCAGTCGTCACTGATGGCGGGGCGAACATGAAAAAGGCAGTGAAGGAGACTTTTGGAGCAGGTAAGCACATGGAGTGCTTCCCTCACAAACTCAATTTATGCATCAATAATGTGATACACAAGAAAGAGAAAGACAGTAATCTTGAGGGAGAAGAGGCGATTGAGGGAGAAGACAATTTTGCTGGAGACATCATTGAGGACCCCAACGTGACAGAAGTGAAGAATAACATAAAAAAATTGATTGACAAAGTCAAGACCATTGTCACGTTTTTCAAACAATCAACTTCTGCAAGCGATGCCTTACATGAAGCACAGTTTGACGAAAACTTCGATTATCGACTTATCCAGGAAGTTTGTACACGTTGGAATTCAACGTATGCAATGTTGAATCGTTTCGTCATGTTAGTCGATAAGATCAGTTCTGTGCTACTGAGGATTCGTAAGGCACCAGAGATGTTAACTCGCGGAGAACTTGCACAAGTACAAGATTTGATAGGAATACTACGACCTGCTTCTGTTCTCACTACAGATTTTAGTGCTGCAAAGTATGTTACGAGCAGTAGGGTTATACCAGCAATCGTTGATCTCCGCGAAGATATTGGGGGGTACGAATGCCACACAGAGCTTGGCAAGAAGATGAAACGATTTTTGATCCAAGAACTGGACAAACAATTTGCTCATTGTGACGATAAACCATTGTTATCGATTCCTACCCTACTTGATCCACGGTTCAAACGTGTTTACTTTTCTCCACTCTCATGCTCTCGCACCTTGCGATTGATAAACACACACATGTTTGACCGCCATGACGAGCAAAGGCTCCAGTAGCCTGACCCTGAAGTCATATGTCAAGCTGACACCAATGAGTTCTGGAGACGTCATCGTGATCGAGTTGAAAGGCATATCCAGTTCTTACCTGAGGAACCGAGCCTGGGAAAACTGCATGGTGACCTACAATAGTACATTCATAAGAAACCTGAAGTAAATTGTGACCCAATGGCCTATTGGGTTGGTCAGAAGGGAAATGCTCCACGTCTGGCAGAAATCGCAATTAAATATCTCTCGACTGTAGCATCNCATTTTGAAAAGTATCGATACTCTGAGTATCGATATTTGCAAAGGCGATATTTGGTGGTATCGATACTGACGCCTCTCCTCCGATACGATACCGAGTATCGATACTTTTGAAGGTATCGGGAAACACTAAGCGGGATTGCTACTGCCGAGTTACGCACCCGACTCACATTTACCGACAGTTCGACCGGGACGCCGCCTTTCCCGTGGGGTACCAACTAACATTTTTGGAGTCAGTCAAACCCCCCGNGCACGTGCGAATGATGATCTTTCTAAAATCTCTTGAATTCGAAGACTGGGCTCTTTCTGATATTTAATTTTTGCAAGTTCACCATATCATTGCAAAAGTTCAATGTATTATTAGTTGTTTAAAATGTGAACAATTTTTATGAAGATTCCGTAAGTTTAAGGCGTGGTTCTATGGGAAAATTGATTTTCCCAGAACACATTTATTCGTGATACACTTTATTCAGTAAGTTGAGAAGTGCTCAAAGATTTTAAGCTTTACGGGTGGTTTA